CTACCTCGGGCCACTAGGGTATACAATAGTCGTGCTCTGGAGGCGTCATTACCCGGGCAATGTCAAACTGCGTGATCGATGTCATCATAACCGGTTCTGCATCTACATATATTGCTGTCAACGAGGTTTATTCTGTAGAGATGTGCGTCTAGCGAGTAGTGGTTGGACATAAGTCTTGACATCACGCGAATGAATCCCCGACTTACATCTAGACCTTTGAACCATGCTCTCGAAGAAACATTTGGAGTAATGGAATGTAACCACCGCCCAAGAGAATTACTTGTCCAATCGTTTTTCCTGCTTAGAAGAGAACTCTGTCGTACTAATGGGAAAAATTCAGCGTGTGAAATTCTTCTATCATAAGTACGCCCACCTTTGCGAGAGAGTCTGCCTTCTCATTGCCTGGGAGTGAGCAATGTGAGGGGACCCATGCAAAGGTAATCCTGTATGATCTTTCGATCAGCAAACTCATCTGCTCCCTTACCTTTGAAAGGAAATTAGATGAGTGCCTACCTGGTTTAATCGACTCATTCGAACTGAGACTATCCGGAAAGATGAAGTAATGGCACGGAAGGCTAATATCCGATGACATTTAATTAAGGTAGATTCGCACGAATCTAGTCTGGGTGCTCAATTCGAGCATTGCTTCGAAGTTTTCAATCACAAGGTTGTTACTGACACTAAATTTGATCAATACTCTATGAATACGTTCCAATTTGATAAGGTGGCTTTTACTTGCCGAGAGGAAGCAAAAAGAGTCATACTCAAGAACAGTCGTTTTATATTTTAATAAGGTAACCGGGTTCTCAACAGGCTTGCGGGAGACAATCCTTTAAAACCAAAATAAAGTGAATCAAGCTATGCTGGTTTCCCTGCTCGGTGTCATTGCTTAATGTTGTTGCTAACCCAAGTAATAATTCAGTAACGATTTAGCATCCACTCTGATTAATGATGGTTTTATAAGGGCAATGAACAATCCATTTAGTTTAAATATAGCATTTCAAAGTGTAAAACATTCCTGCTTAGTAATCCAGCTTTTTGCTGTTTCAAAAACCTTTTATAGTCTGGCAAGAAAGTAAAAAACTGTCTTGTTTTAAAAATAAATTTAAAACAGTTATCAATCCCTCCTTAAAACTGTTCTTTTTTTTTTTTTTTTAATTCTTTATTTAAGAGATTTTTAGCCTTAGGCTAGTTCATCTCTATTAAAACTGTTCTGTAATTCAAGCATAAACGTCATTAGCGTTTTGTATTAGAGCAAAAAGCATTTATTGTTGCTTTTTAGGCTTTTTAAAGTGCACCAATTACTCTGTTTACAAATTGAGCTTAAAGATGATTCCTCATAGTTAATAAATGCCAAATTTATGACAAGGAAATCTCGAAGGATAGACGAAGTAGGATGAAAAATTCAAGTCGATTTCAGCAAAATTTACTTCTTTAGAAGAACCAGCACACCATTAACGACTATTACCATCATAAAACATTGTCGAAAGTTTAAAAAACATACCAGCCTTCTCCAGATCTTGCGAAAAGATGACAACCGACAGCAAACCACTGAAACTGTTAGTTAGCGGAGATCAGCTGGTTTCCGATCCATAGCAGCGATTTTATTCGGCGAAATAATCAACTATTCGAAAATATTTCATTCAAGCGTACATTCCTGCATCGTTGGATGGTGCACTTCTGTAATCATCCGGAAAAAGGGGATCTTTTTCGGGAACGATTGCGCTTTCAGCTGTTCGAAATGTGAAATGTTGTAAAACAATATCGCAAACTGTTTGAGTAACCGATCTCTCAATCTATCGGGAGAAAACCACCTGAAAGAACCCTGGATCCCACAGCGCAACTATCGAAAAATAAACAAACTTTGACGTTTAAGTTTTTGCAGGCCACTTTGCCTCCATAAATGCTGCCGTAAATCTGAACGGGTTAGGATCAAGCAAAATGGCTTTAGATAAATACAATTCAGCCTGCAAGTTTTCTTCATAAAAGCCATTTTAAAACCTTATTAATTTGTTAAGGAATTCTTGAAAGCAAAACAACTTTTTCACAAATGACCCATAAAAATCAACTTTTATGCCACCGCCATGTTACAATTAGTTTGCTTGTTTTTAACAATCTTTAATTTTCAATCTATATTTCCTTAGATATAACTATATTTAAAAATAACTAATAAAAGAAATCTCGGCCAAGCTCGATCTGAAGAATATATTTTTTTGTTTTCAATGTTAAATAATAAGTCAAATCGACGTTTTACGGGGGTGGACTTAGTTTTTTCGATGTTTTCACGTAAATTTCACGTAAAATTTAATATGGCACTTAAAACTAGGCCACTTAATGAGAACTTTTGTAATAAATTTGGATATTCAACAAGATTTTTATACCATCAGTTTCTATTTTAATTATTTTGATAAGATCGGATTCATAAATCCTTTTCTATCTTGATTGATGCTTTCCTAGTGGATTCAGCATGCGGCTAGGGGAAATGGGTCGGAAAGGGTTTTTATTGTTGCTAAATAGCTTTTATTGTAGCTTTCAAATGATTCTCAATGCGTTCGTCATACAACTTTTTGCAGTTAATCAATCTTGAAGAGCTTCGAGAATACACCCTTCAGAATCTTCTCCAAGGTGGGGCAACTAGACATATTCTAGTCTTAATGAGGTTTTGGTGGATGCATTAATGACAAAATAGCCTTGACCAGGGTTTTATGCATGTTGTTTTATAGTTGCTTTGTAGTATTTCATAAAACTTAAAATGTTACTTGGGAAGGAATCCAGTTTTGACTGACAAAGGAGCGCTTTCACTGTTCGAAGGGTATAAATAGCGAGGCCTTTCATTTAATCAATCCCTTGCGATGAAGGCAACTATATTAACACCGAATACTTCATCATCTCTCAAGATGAACCAGCCTACGGCTGAAAATCTCCTAAATAAAGAAAGAAAAAAAAAAAAATCATCTCTCAACAGTGATGGAGTAATCCGACATGCACTTCACTAAGGACACGGGATAAACTACAATAGATCAAATAACTGCTCGCAGTGGTTTCATGTCCCGAACAGAGGGGAAAAAAGCTATGCTGAACGAAATAAAAGCGGAGTTCTTCTCCCACGACATCGAGCCCAAGAAGCTACTCAAGGTGGTCCTGACATGGAAACCAACAGATCTCTGCTAAATGCAGTCGATTTATGTGTTTCTGCAAATGTCTAGTATAAGAATTTAATTCGTTTGTCTTTTGTATCTCTTTATTAATTTTTGTTTGTCTTGTCCCCCGTTCCGATGAGTCTCATCGTTGCCCACTGGTCACCATAGCCGGTCGAACTCCAGACGAATCTAGAACCACACTACCGTTCATACTGGCGACATCGCTCTGTGAGACAACGAAACCCTACCCCCAAGCTCCTCCCCCTTTCCTATTCTTCGACAATGTACCACTCTAACCTCGGGTAAGCTGCGAGTATTCGGTCCAACTCCTACTAGACAAAGAATTAAGTGAATTTTGTAACTAACAAAGAACAATGAATTATCGGCTCCGTAAAGCTAACGCGATTGAGTCTTACACATTAACGAACTAGATAAAAAAAAGGAAACCAAAACTTTGTCGGTAGTACTGAAAGCAAATGGACTCAAACCGATCCAGCGCTTCAAGACTTCAATGGACTGCAAGCGCACAAGAATGTTTTTCCAGAATTATTCTTTTTTTAATAAAACCTTCACGATATGATTTTCTAGATGCAATGCATTAAGGGAATCAAAATTAAAAAAAAAAAACTACAAGTGACATCCCTATAGGGTTGTACGAAACGGTGACGTAGGACTACGTTCTTTTATATAATAAATTTTGTTCGTTAACTGCTGTAGGAGCTTGTGAATAGGATTTTTAGTGGGGTTCTCTCTGTTCATACTATTTAGTATGACGCGCTTGACATAGATGGCCCACAACGACTCACGAAGAGCTACTGATTCTGATCAATAGCGGTGCGGCTTCTTCCTCCTTCTATGGATGCTCATGTGGGCTCCAGCTCGCTGTTTGCAGGCAGCCTTTCATTGTGTACTGGAGAACAATGTTCAACGGCTCGTGCCGAAAGCACTGCTGCTGCTGATTATGCCGACGACCGAACACACGGTGATTGGAACTGAATCCGATCAACGGTTGAGGCCAGCCTTGACAGCTAACTGCTTGCCTTGACAGCTAACGCAAGGAACTGGAGAACACCACCACTCACCACGGGGTGATTGCATAAACACCGTTTGGTGAGACTGGATGGAGTTCATCTTTGAAATCTGTGTTAGGGAAATCGCTTTTCGCAAGCAATCAGTGATAATTTTAATTATCATAACAACAGTTGTACATTCGTGCAGTTTTAAATAGTGACACTTTGAAAAATGATAAAGCATTAACTTTAACAGGTGCGAATATTTCTGCTCGACTGGTGATAATACTATTGAAATTGGTCCAGAGGCAGCTGAGTTATTAACGTTCAAAGTCTTTCATAATTTTGTTACATGTTCCATTTTCTGTTTTCACAAAGTGCACCTTCATATAGAAATCACAGACGTAGTCCTACGTCAAAAAAATAAGTTATCATAAAAATTACAACATTATTTAAAAAATCTTCCGGCGACCACATTACAGAATCTGTTCATGTTGCGAAACATAGCAAATTTAGCATACTTTTCATGTACATTTGTAATAGAATCTTACATTCCCCGGTTTGGTGTAGAAGCTTCTTTTAGATAGGAGTATTCAACTTATTTTTCGCTTAACTAAACTCCGTGTTGAACACTGCTATCATTCATTGCAAACCATCTAAATTCATCCATTTTAGAGCGTAAGCCCTTCCCACTCGGATAGTAAATACAATTACCCGTTATTACTTCGTAGAGCTAGTTTTGATCTTCACTATCGACCACGCTATGGCTAAAACATTATTCCGCAACAACCGTGCTGCAAGCACCCACCCCGAACCGAATACATAAAACAATCATAATTCGATTACTTACCGGTCTATAATCACAGGATCTGACGGTGTTTCGTTGCGATTGCCACAGCTCTTCTTGTCGCAGCATCGGCTGAAATTGTACAGTTGAAGGGAAAATTGAGTTTAGAAATTTTGCCACTACTGCTTGGAGCTGCGAACTACTGCTTGTTTGATGGGGTAATTTTCGGTCGTGTAATAATGCACATTAGCGAACATGGAAACTGGAAATGAGTATTATACGTCGGATATGAGCGCATTAATTGTACAATAACAAGATTAGCAACGACTAGGTAGCTACCAACGTCCCACTCAACTGTCAGCACCGACGACTACGACGCCGATGTGAGCTAATAAGTTAGAACTGTGTGTAAAAGTACGTGCAATGGCAAAAGTTTAACTCGTTCTCTCATTATTCAACAGCTCTAATTTCATTACTCTTACCGAACCAAAATCCTTCGCTCGACTCGTCTTCACCAGAGTCTAATCTCGTTTGATTCCGATCGGCCATATCGGCTCGTATCGGCACAATCGATACCGATATGGAACCGCTCGCCGGGTGTTACAATAAAACTGAATTTTATGTTCATTGGCCTTTTATGCTAGATTTGTATGTTGCCGTTCCAAATCTCCGTCATCGTTCGTGGATGTGTCTGTAGCTCCTTGTTCTCCGTTCACGCCGTCGACGGTCGCCTTGTCCCTCGGATCTTTTTGTGAAGCAAGGTCGTACGCAGGATTTCAATATTTTTCGAGTGGCTTGAATTCCTAAAATCTGTGCACGCTTCTGAATTCAGTGGCTGGGCTCAGAAAAAAAAGAGTGTGTAAATCGATGTTCTTGGCCTCCATCGGACGGCTCGCTCCAGCCGTTCCAGAGTCTCCGTTTTTACGACAGCGTATAAGGATAAATAGCCGCTTCTTTCCCTCCGTCTTCGCATAGAGTAGGCCTAGCACACGGAACCGACTTACAAATAGAATCTGGTCCGGCGTGTGCTGGTGGTAGCTCAGCAGGACCCTCTCCTTCCAACAAGGTTCGATTTTTGCTCTTTCCCTCTTGGCTCTAGAACAGCCACAGCCAATCGCTTCCCTTCCTACTATAGTCCCCCCCCCCTACCACAATTCAGTCGCTCTATTTTTTCCGATATCTCCCAAGGGGATTCGACTCGACTTTGGAGGAAAACCTCTTGAGGAAAAAGGCGTGCTCTACTGGGAATTGGCTGAAGTCGTGCACATACACACAAGAACGAATGTATGACACTCTCTGCCCAGGACCAAATAGAACTCGCGTATAAATATAGGCACGCACGCCTACGCACACAGTGACAGAGCGTGATCAGGAAGCAGAAAACCGACCAAGCATCAAACATAAAAATATTGCACCCGTTCTACATAGTTTCCTGTCCGGGGGTAGAGGTAGATATCCTTGTCTTTCGATTTTATTGTTGCTCATTTTCATCCTCATATCTATGGCATGTTTGCTGCAAGAAACATTCTTGTTGAAGGTTTCAAGTCTTCCGGTCCCGAGCGGGAACGGAAAGACAGACAGACAGATGTTGACAGAGTTAAAGCGTCCCGCTTTATACCGAGCTTCATTTCTGTGTGTAGAGAGACTTAAATCACCGTGCTGTCAGTGCTGTCAGTTGGTTTGACGTTATCAGCTCACCAGGTTGGTTGGGCTTAGTAGGCCATGGGACACTCACCTGCACATCACTTCGTGTGTTAGTAGCACCCTGCACATTTCCGGATTCTTGTCCTGGCCTTCGTAGACAATGGCCTGTAAGTAAATAGGAAAATAAAAACGTACGGTGAGATTAGTATCGATTGCCGACCGGGGTAGCATTAACAGAGGTCAAATACGCTGGCTACGTGAGCTCTCTGTGTGTCAACACTGGGATAGTCGCACGTTGTTTGCACACGATTAATAACATGCTGTCGTGTGTGCGGTGTTCTAGCCTCGGGTCACCGTTGGTGGTAGGAAAGGTGGAGATAGTTGGACTATTGGACGAAGAATTATGTACAAATTTTTGACAATCGTCAGATGGAATTTTGGCCATGTTTAGTTTTTTTATGTTGAAGAAATGGTTTTATTGAAGGCCTGGTAAAGATTTTATTGATTTTTCCGACTTGGGGCGGGACTCCTTGGTTGAATATATCAAAATACTTTTATATAGAGGAAATGGCTCTAATGTTGGCCTATGCATCTCAGATTTGGCCCATCGCTAAAAATCTGCTATTTATTAATTGTATCTAGATGAACGCGTCATTGGGACGGTACTTATGGATATATTTGGTCGCTATTGAAAATTTAGTTGATTGCTGAATTTATGTATTGACTCAAATTAGGGGCATTTAGGCCGACATTACATCCATTTTCCCTTATTTTAATTTCCTTGCATTAGACTTGAAAACGAAAGTAAACTTGGATCAAACATTATTCAGCACAAAAAGCTTAATCTTTTACAAGTACTAGCTTTTGAAAATACTTGATATTTTCGAATATACCTAAGTTGTGTTGCCCCTTGATATCAGGTAAATGGGTGAAAGTGACCAACATAAACTCGGACACTAAGTCGTATACACTTATTAACTCATCCTAAAATGTTTACGTGGCTTATGGACAGCCCCAATTTTGAATGGCGTTTATGAAATTTTGCTTAAAGATTATTCGACTTAGTTGTGATGGAATTCTTACTGGTTTTGTTAGTCTTGTGGGAATTGAAATGGTTCATTTTTTCATTGCCCCTTATTTATTTGGGAAAAGAAGTCTACCATTTTTTTTTCGTTTAGTTGCACGCCACGATTGGTGTGTTTTGTTGGAGCTTCTCGTAGAATCATAGATATTGTTGTTGGTAACATGGAACTTTGCGGCTAAGGACATTCTACTAGCAACGTTTCTTGACATTGAAGGTGCATTTGATAATGCATCTTTCACGTCGATGATAAGCGCCATGAGAAATCGTGGTTTTAATAAAAACATAATCAACTGGGTTGTAGAAATGCTATCCAAAAGAGAAATATCAGTTAATCTAGGAGATTCAGTAGTGAAAGTAACAGCTGCAAAAGGCTGTCCTCAAGGAGTTGATCTATCTCCCATTCTGTGGTCTCTAGTTGTTGGTGATCTTCTTTTAAAACTAAAACATCAAGGATTCGAAATAATTGGGTTTGCCGATGACATTGTCATCATAGTCCGTAGAAAATCCGATAAAGTTGTTTTCGACAGAATGCAAAAAGCATTAAAATTCACACTATCTTAGTGCAAAGATGAGGGATTGAATGCAAATCCTACAAAAACAACTATTGTACCTTTTACTAAAAGAGGTAAAATCTCTATCACTGATTTTAAACTAGGAGACGTAAAGCTGTCTTCAAAAGTAAAGTTTTTAGGAGTAACTTTAGATAGTAAACACTGCTGGAACAAACATATTGATCAACAAATAGGAAAAGCAACCAATGCATTTTGGACCTGCAAAAGAACGTTTGGGAAAAATGGGATCTGAAGCCAAACCCAACAAACAATGTGTGCTTGTTAAAGGCTGAATAGCAATTTTTAGCTGAAGAAGCATAATTTTGCCTGAATAAGCTCTTATTCTGCTTCTAATTTTTGTTGGGAATATGATACACTCGGCCATAGTTAAACCCAGGATTACCTACGCCTCACTTATATGGTGGCCGAAAACTAAGCAACAAACGGCACAAGTCAAATTAAACAAGCTACAAAGGCTTGCTACTATTTCCATAATTGGAGCAAGGCGTAGTACTCCCTCTACAGCCTTAGATGCTTTACTCAATATCCTTCTTCTTCATCAATTATTCAACTCGATGCAGTGAAAAGTGCTCTAAGGCTCAAATGGTCCATGAATTTCTTCGATGGAAATCTTATTAGAGCATTCTAAAAGAGTTTCAGATAACTCCACTAATATTGATGAACGAAGATTGTATGCTAAAGCGACATTATTTGAACCATAATTTCCAAGTTCCTGGTGTGACTCGCGTTGACTGGGATGCAGGAAGACTGAATATTAGTCCTGGATCAGTAATTTTCTATGCAGATGGCTCGAAACAAGAAACGGCCCTGCGGTTAACTTCTCGGTGCCCATGGGAAAATGGCCGAATTATATGCCATCTTAGAATGTGCAACGATTTGCATAAAAAGGAACTACAAAAATGCGAATATTTGCATTTGTTCAGATAGTCCAGCGGCGCTGAATGCTTTGAAATCAAAAACTTACACGTCAAAACTGGTATGGGAATGTACTAAACTATAACAGCAACTGTCCTGTCGAAATACGGTCAACCTTTATTGGGTTCCTGGTCATTGTGGAATCGAAGGGAACGAAATAGTTGATCAATTGGCAAAAATGGGTCATCCACGAAATTCATTGGTCCTGAACCATTTTTTGGACTTTCTTTTTGTGCTTTAAAAATGGAGCTAAAAAACTGGAAAATAAAAACAAAGGTACAGTACAACTGGACCAGTACCTTAAATTCTCGGCAATCTAAACGTTTTATAAAGTCGAACGCTTGCATACACACAAATTACTTGATCTTCCTAAAAAAAAATTGAGTACATACGCTGGTTTGATAACAGGACACTGTCCTTGTAAATATCACATGAAAATCATTGGTAAACTTCATGAAGATAAATGTCGCTTTTGTAACTCAAACAGTGAAAGCTCTGAACATTTGCTGTGTGACTGTGTTGCACTATTTCATAAACGATGCAGATATCTTGATAAGGGTCTGATGAGACCTTGGGAAATCTGGGCTGCTGCTCCCAATCAGGTAATAAATTTCATAAGGATTATATTACCTGGTTGAGATAATTGCTTACAACAGTAGTGGCTTACCACTACGTTTTGGCATAAATATTGGCATAATCTATTGGGATACTACACTTCACTACACTAAATAGTTCATTTTTCATAGCTGATTTCTCATTTTACCATTCTTACAAAGAAGGGTACACACCAAAAATAAATTTTAATATTACAACCAAGAGGATGCACTTCAATCATGTCGAAAATCTCATGTAATTTTTATGTCAGCAAAAATAAACAAATGCAGTAAAAGCAGCGTAATTTCAGCTCATGCCCTGATAAATTCGTCCTTTTCGGCAACTATATTTTCGACACAATTGAACTGCATCCACTTTGATGTGATATTTAAATTATTTTTTTGATGTGTTTACATACCGATTGTAAAAACGACTTTCAAGCCGAGGCCCGGAGGTTATCGACTCAGCTCAACGAGATCGGAAAATGTCAGTGTGTGTATGTGTGTGTAATGAAATAAAGAAGGTAATGTTTTATTCAGCCACTGAGCCACATTGGACGCAATAAGCATCAAATCAAAGGCCCACACTTAGAAATACCCAATCTTACACGTGACTGAATCCATCTTTGACATAAAGGATGCGACGCAAACAAACATGTCATGTAAAATAAAGTGCTTCGAAACTGAAAAGTTCGAAAGTACGTTTGATTTAGCTAAATTTCGCGTCTATTATGACTCAATTTTATGTCAAAATTGACGCTAGTATATGTTAGTCTCAGAGCACCTAAATTTACATCCACTTTTCTTAGTGTGCTTCATACACACACAGATAAAAATTCTGAGTTTTAATAGTGATGTAAACATTCATTCACGTAAACTTGTATTTCATTTCACGTAACCGAGCAACTTGTAAACAATGTGGTTTACACCAATGGGCTTTTGCATACAATATTTGCTACATTGCATGAAAATCCTCATTCCATTCCTTTATTTAACGTCGGTCTCTGTTCCGCAATCTAGTGCCAATCACATCGATTGCCATCCATTGCCGACAATCGAATGTGCAGGAAGGCAGCTTCCACCCCTGCGTAGGATATCGCACCCATTCAACACACATGGGCCGGGACCAACGGCTTTACTTCCCTTCCGAAGGAAGACATTGCATGAAATGTCTCAGAACTTTACATGATAAATAATGTAAACTTATATGATATGTGGCGCTCCATTTATGTGCATCATACTGAACAGAAATTTACACTACTTTTTCGAACTGTGCAGCAAAAAATTCTGAATTATAATTGTGATGTAAACACTCATTCACGTAAACTTCTATTTCATTTCACGCAAACGAGCAACTTGTAAGCAATGTTGTTTACAAATTTAGTCTTTTGTATACAATATTTGCAACATTTCATGAAATGTCTCAGAACTTTACACGATTTATAATGATAACTTAAATGAGATGTGACGCTCCTTTTATGTGCATCATAATGAACAGGAATTTACACTACTTTTTCGAACTGTGTAGAACGCATTTGATTTTATATTTTAATTAGTAAACTAGTTCCGAAGATATGGCCAGAAAATGTTCCGGTGAGTATATGTTCTGAGAATGGAGGTTACCTAAAACGTGTTAAACCCATCATGCGACTCCTCAAATTACATGAGAACTTATAAACAAGTTCATTGGTGGTTATATCGAGTGCCCACACACTTAGAAAAATTCATGTAAATTTAGGTGCTTTGTGACTGCACAGCATTTTTTTTTCCTTTATTATAGAGATTTTTAGCCATAGGCTAGTTCATCTCTTAGGCTGCACAGCAATGAAACCTGTATTTTACGTGAAAGTATTTAGTAATCAATAATTTTGCATCGAATTTTACATGCATCTGTGTTTTACATGACAATGAAAAGTTCAATTGAAATCAATGGAATTTTCAACGAACAGCGATATAAAAAATGTCTACGGTCCGTACAAATTTACAATAAAATGTATGGAC